TCGGGGGAAAGAGCCCCCAGTATCCATTGGATAGGAGGATGAGGGGGCCCAAGAGCTGGTCTGGACCCTATGAAGAAGAGAAAAATCTTGCCCCTGCCAGGAAGTTTACCCCAGCTGTCCAGCCCATAGCCTGTCACTATACCATCTGAGTTATCCTGACTCCACAATATTCACAAGGGTCCAGAAGTAAACAGACACTGACAGGGGTCAAAGAGACACAAATGATGCAAAATTTCATTTCATAGAATGTTCCCAGTTTATTAACCATGAAACAAATTTTAAACCATGCTTCATAAGAGCCAGGCTCTTTGTTTTACCTCACTTCTGCTGGTTTCTTGTGTGGCATACTTCTCAAATTTGAAGATGGAGGTGATATGTTTCTTTGAACTACATAGCAGTACAAACCATACTCTTTCACAGTCGCCACTGTAAGATCTTCAAATCCAGCAAAACTTATTAGTTCATCACTCTTCACCCCATGCAGGGTTTCTCACACCCTTAGAGTCAATGACAGGCCTCTAAGCCCTTCAAGAAATTCTGTTACGACAGCTGAATATTCAGCTCTGCTTGCCACCTGCTTTCACACTGGTATCTTGCTTGGCTTATTCTTTGACCCTGAAGATGGAGGCGATATGTTCTTCCAAAACATTGGCAGACTTTCAACAAAGTACAAGGCATTATATCCCAGAAGACAGTACTCTTCATAGCCACCACTGTGAGAACCTCAAATCCTACAAAGAACTCTTTTTTTCAGGTTCCTTCAATCTCTCTTCTCGAAGAAAGCAATATGAAATTCTACCCCAATATGAAAAACAACAGATAAAATTATGGTTTTACCTTTTTAATGAATTGGATTCTGAACTGAATCATAACATTCATTTTTCAAGTTTCTTCACTTAACTTCAGAATGAACCTCATTTTTGCTTGGTATTATGAACTTCACTTTTGCCAGCTTTAGTGGATAGACAGTGTTGCATGGTAAGCGCAATGGTTCCCCACTAACTTTGCCAACAAGCAGCAGTCACCCAGTTGGTATAGTTCACTGGCAGACCAAAACCATGGACTTTTGTTTGTTTTATGAACTTCAAAACATTTCTTTATAAAAGAGAAACACTTTCTTCCAGAAATTCAAACCTGTCTCAATGCAATGCATGTTCAAAACTCAAAGTATTAAAAAGGACATGTATGTGGAGCCTGCCAGTGACAGGATGTCATATCTAATGTGATTGTTCTGATTGTCCACGCTCCAAGAGAGGATAAAACTAATGATACACAGGACAGATGCTATGAAGAACTGGAACATGTATTCCCCATGCACCATATGAACATTTTTGTTAATTTCAATGCCAAACTATGCAAAAAGAAAAATATAATTTTCAACAGTCAATTAAATTCGATTCATTTGCATACCAATCTTACAATAGCATAACGGTTCATCAGGCATAATCTATAACTCAGGTGTAATTCTGACACAGGAAACAGCGTGACTAAGTAAACTGCTTATTGTGAAAGTCAAGTACAGTAGAGAAGCAGAATTTAATGCAACATGGGACTTACGACACATAAGTGAGCTACCCTGTAGTTGATATGCTTACTTTATAGTATCCTTCCAGTAGTCTGCTGAGTGCTTGAAACAATGTCTCTGCACAAACAAGTGCAGGAGCAGGAGTGAAAAGGTAAAATGAATCATTATACCATAATAAACTGGTACATGATAGCAGTGACCTCAGTTGTCTCTTATTCAGAAAAATTTCATTAAGTATCGAACTATGTACATGAATATGCCAACCTTTCTGCTTATGTTAGTTCATCACAAATGAACTTGAATTACTGCATACAGAGAATTACCAGAAATACCTCAATAGCATGCCTGTTCTTTATACTTCCATGTTCATGGTCAATTTCTGTGGTCCAGTATGACTCCCACAAAATACAGTTAATCTTCCATATAATGAAATTCAGGAGACCCAGTCTTGAAGTTTTTTGTTTTTTTACACAATGATACAGCTGATATAATTGTACTGCATTCTAGCTTGTCAAATTCAGAATTTCCTACATTCACTCCCTTATTGGCACTTTTTTTTTTAATATGAAGTCAGTTTTTGATCACACAAAAGCTATAGTCTACTCGTATAGTTCTAGACCTTGATCCAGGAATCTTGGTATATGGTAGAAATGATATCCCATCCTTTTGGGTGCAGTCACACAGATGGACATGTCTGACAAACTGTACTGATGTGCAGAACAGTGAGGCATGTCAGTTTTCTGCCTGACTTTGTGTACAGCAAATCATATCATATAACTGTTAGACAGTATGCTCTCTATTATCTGTTCTAATGAACAGGAAAAGACATGGATAATCCAGTGATCATCTTTGGATGTGATTGCTGAATAAAGAAATTCATAAATGTGAGCACAATGTGTGATTTCAGTTCTCTCTGCAACTTTTGTCAGAAACATTTTTTGCCCTGATAAATATTTAGCAAGTTGTGCTCCAGATACTTGTTGGAATGGTTGAACAATTTTTCACAAAATTCTCAAACATCAAACTCAATGAAAATCTGTCCAGTGGTTCGCAAGTAGTTTGCTGTGTACAAACATGCAAACGTAGCAGTTGCTCTTTAGGATGTGAACACGCATAAAAAAAGACGCATACATGAGCTGCAAATTAGATATCTATGAAGTGTTAGCCAGGAGTATACTGTATTACACTTTCAAATCCATCATGAAAAATCTCACTCTAGATCTGGAAAGACAAAAACTGAAGAAGAAATGTGTCTAATTTTATGAAACATGAAGCAGAGATGGGCACTAGCATCCCTTTATCTGCAGTTCGTACAGTGTCGCAAAAATTTGCTGATTTCAGCACAATTACAATTACTATAACATAAAAATGGAGAGGTACGCCTGCCACTCCATCTCCCTTAACATTCAGATGCTGACAGTTCTGAATCTAGAGTTAAACAAACCTCAAGTACTACTGAAACCACTCATAACAAAATGGCTTATAAGATTCTGTAAGAAACTATCTGCACATAAATCTGAAATATGATACATTAATTATTAGGTTTGGTGAATAAATGTTTTCAAGCTCTGTCTTCATTCTCTGCATCTCTGTCACCACATCAACATTAAGCAAACATTTATTACAGGGTGTTTATAAACACACAGTGGATAAAAGCCTCCATTTTGTTTTATTAAATGTAATAAGTCTTGTACTATGTTATGCACATTCAGTCACAATGCCAAGACAAAATAAAATTCAAGTTCTCTGTTACAAAACATAATCTAAGACTCCAAGCATGAATGCATGTTAACAATATAAGCTCATGTCTGAATCAGAATAAGAATTTCTTACTTCATGTATATACATTCATGGAATAAAAGTGTCTGCATAATTCTGCACACCAAATTCTTGGGAATAAGAAATGAAAATTACACCAGTAAATGCAACATGCATAAATACCTCCATAGTCCTGTGACCTACTAGAAATAATTACTTCAACCAACCCTGATTACTTAATCAGAAAACAGCAATGGCTATGAAAACTAATGCTTGGGGGGTCAATAGTGTTCATGTAGAAATTTGGATCTAAAATAACACAAGAAAAGAAAATCCTCTGACCTTGAAAACAGAATATGTACATATACAATAAACTTCAGACAATTTGTCTTGTTGTCCACTGTTTACAAACTCTAACCAAATAAAACTGAAATCAGTTCATAAATTTCTTTACAAAAACATGTCACTGTATTTTACCAGGTTCCCCAAATTGAAGCATTATGAACAGATATCCAATATGTATAATCAATGATATTTGGACATTTGTATATAGCAAGTTAGATACAATAAATTATTAGATATCTGTTGTACTCATGTGTGACTTTCTTACTGCCACAACTCTTTAAGGAATGCCAGTCCTTTCTCTTGACCTGACTACTTCTTAAAAGAAATAATGGAAAAATCTTTTACTTGATGTGCTGTGGGAATGAGGGTGCATTGTCATCAACAACTTGCACTGTTAGATCATTTTTAGGAAGTTAGCAGATTTTTTTTAACGTGCTTCAGTATTCGTATGCCTGTAGAAGTCCACTTATACATACACAGGACTTTTCTTCCATAAGATTGCCTACACAAAGTATGATGTACCCTGATTCATAGAGTAGATGGATTTTGGTGGTTGTAAGCATAACTATGCAATTTGAAAAGATTTTGCCATTATTTCTTTTAAGAAGTAGTCAGGTCAAGAGAAAGGACTGGCATTCCTTAAAGAGTTGTGGCAGTAAGAAAGTCACACATGAGTACAACAGATATCTAATAATTTATTGTATCTAACTTGCTATATACAAATGTCCAAATATCATTGATTATACATATTAGCATATACATATCTGGCATCTTTCAGTGAACAAAAACACACATAAAAGTCCTCACGGTTAAACACCATGCCATGAAGATAAAGTGGAGGTACATTGCAATTTTCACACTCCAGCTGCTTTACCCCTGGGAAAAAGGTTCCTTGTACCCAATGGATAGTAAATTGGGTGGAAACCAGAGCCAGCCTAGATGCAGTCTTATATATATATAAATAAATCATCAAAGGCTGCCAGTTTTTCTCAAGCAGTGTCAGAGATGAAAATGGTAAAGACAACAGATGTTCATCTTGGATAGACCGCCCCAGGGAATTTGTTAACTTTGTTGCTATGATGATGCATTTGAGTCAAAGCCAATTTGTTTCCCCGTTACTTCATTTGCCAAAGAGCTGGGATAGCACAGTCGGTATACTAGCTGGCTACAGGCTTGACATCTAAGGGGTAGGAGCATGAATCCCAGCGGATGCAAGAATTTTCACTTTTCCATGTCATCCAGAATGGCTTTGGGGCCCACCCAGCCTCCTATCCAATGGGTACTGGGGACTCTTTCCTTGGGGGTAAAGCAGCTGGGGCATGAAGCTGACCACTCACCCCCAACTAGAGCCAAGGTCAAGAAAACGTGGGTCTATACATTCACTCCTTCATACGTCTTCATGGCATAGTGCTCAATTAGTTAGGCAGAGGTACAACTTTACCTTATTACTTCATTTGCCAGAAAAGCATCGGGCCCATGACGAGTATATAAATTTCACGTTTTATAGTAACCATGGTAATGAGATGCATTTCTGCCAGGTTATGGTGTGACATATAACAAAAACATTTTCTCAAATTCCTGTACTCTTTGGGATGGGAATGATAGTAAATTTTTTCTTTTCACAAATTTTATTTTATTATAAGAAGGAAAGAAGTATGCCATGCATATTGCTATTTGGACTATTAACAACTTCATTCACCCTTGTAGCTATGAAACATGTACTGAGATGATTATGAGGGTGAGATTCATACAAACATAATACTTCCTACAAGAGTTACGGAGAGTACCACACCATCACACTGCACTGCTGCTGACATGATACATTTCAACACATTCTTGTGCCAAAGCAGTCCAATAGAGTGACAATATGACAGGCTATTTGGTAAGCTTAAATCGCTCTGCTCGAAGCCGCTTCTTCTCCTCCAGGACACTGTTGCTTATGGGGCTCTTCTTTCCGTGTGCTGTATCATCAGCACCAAATCTCCACTTCCTCTTTTCCAGCTTTTCACTGAGTTCAACCTAAGAGCATGAAGAGTGATCAATATTTTTCAAAGAGGGAAGGGAGGGTCAGAGGGGTGACAAAGATTTCCTAAGAACAGTCAGGAGGTTTCTTTTTGTTACTTCTCAAATCCAACCTAGATATTCGTAACACATATCTTTATTTCACAGCCTGAATTGCGGAGGTTATACAGCACTGAATGGGAGGATGGTTGTATATAATAAACTGGGAAGGATCTGGAATGAAGTAATCATGGTTTATTTTGAGATATCCTAAAATATTCAAGACACTGAGAAAAACTACACAAGTCTCAGCCTGGATATCAAATCTGGGAACTTCCAAAAAACATAAACCTTAACCAGTCAACCTTGCCACATATTAGTGACTAGATGCAGGGTTTCACCTGATAACTGGATTTATTGAACACTTGAAACTACAAATAACGATAACGACCTCACTGTTCTAAACTCTACAGATCGCTAAAACTACTGCACATATTAAGTCCTCTGTCTGTCATCTCTAGTCAGTGCTAAGCTGCTAATAATGCAACTGAAGATTGCTAACAAATGACTGTCAACTGCCAGGCTTATCCAGTTGGTCCGCATTATGTAAGTCATGTATGGACTGCACAGAAAACACCACACCCTCTATTGTTGCATCAGTATCTGTTGCTGCAGTCATGTATTCACCAAACCGTTGCTTAGCAATGACCATATCTATTTGTTCCATTATTCTGGCTTTCAGCCATCATGTCACAATATGTTTTTTTTTAATTGCTAGTGGGGTGGGACTAAGTCCCTTGCACTGCGGCCACTTCTGGCCTATTGTATCAGCCCCGGATGATAGGTCAGGGTGATTGTGGAGCAACTGGAGGAATGAAGATTGGCAGGGGAAACCGAACTACTCGGAGAAAACCTGCAGCAGCGCCACTTTGTTCACCACAAATTCCACTTGACCAGACCTGGGATTGAACCCGGGCAGCTGCGGTGGGAAGCCAGAGACTAACTGCTTGAGCTATGGCACAGCCAATCACAATATGTTACTACAATACCAAGTTGTGCAAAAAAATATATGTTGCTGTTTAGGTGCATGTTTTCTGACAATTCCAAATTCTCCATTCTTTGACACAAATTAAATTTATTAATTTACTTTCACAGCTCAATGTAACATATCAGCACCACCAGCATAATGCTGCTGCACTGTGATGGTTTTCTGCCTTACCAGTCATAATAATAACAGCCTGGAGGACGGCTGATTTATGAGTACTCCAATCACATTCTTACTGCAGGGATGCTTCACACATTACATGCCCAACTACAACCATGTTAAGCAACACAACAGACATTGCAGTCCACGACATATACGTGCAAACTGAACTCAGTAGAACGTTCCAAGTTTTCCGTCATTTCACATTAAATTTTACTGATACTTACTTACTTATGGAGCTGAGCCCTTCTTGAGATGCCAAATCTGCAGCTACTCAAGAAATTCCCAGCATTTTATGGAACCCAAAGGTTCATTACCGTGTTCACAAAAGTCCTCCACTGGTCCCTATCCTGAGCCAGATCAACCCAATCCATACCACCCCATTTTATCTCTCTAAGATCCATTTTAATATTGTCCCTCAGCTACACCTTGATCTTCCCAGTGGTTTCTTTCCTTCTGGCTTTCCCACCAGTATCCTATATGCATTCCTCTTCTCCCCCATTCATCCTCCTTGACTTGATCATTCTAATTATACTTAGAGAAGAGTACAACCAAGTTAATAATCTTAATGTTAATATACCTCCATTTCAGACATTCTTTTTCAATTTAGTGTTCAACTCCACTGTTAAACTGTACCACTATATGAACTGCAGATGTCCTTTATCATTAAGCAGGTGGGGAGGATGAGGAAGAAAGTCACTGTGGTGTATTAAAATCACTATTCTGACATTTGCCTACAGGAAAAAATCTCTGGATTTGAACATGATACTTCCTGAATGTAAGGTATATTAACATTCTGCTTCCTTGTGAAATGGGTTTGTGTTCGATTCCTGGCAGCATGCACATCCTGCTCCATCAGTTATGCCCAAATTCGGCATCAACAAAAACACACTTCTGCAGTTTACATATAACTGACCTTGCTCAAGTTTCTGCTGCTTACTGGAGACAATGTCAGCCCAAATCTCTCAGCCCGCTTACGAAGAATGTCTGAACTTTGCGTCTATAAACAGAAAGTAACATCATGAAATTTGACAACCACCTTACACTCTCATAAGAAGCAGCAAACAGCCAGTGCTACAATTTTATTTTCATACCCAAGTGTCTGTGTTATATCTTGCTACTACCAAATGACTCAAAATAAAATTTCACACATAATTTCTATATGTATATTATCTCCCATGATATGTATTGAAAATACCGTTTACGCAGTGCCTATAATACTAACAACAGTGGTGCCTGTGTTGAGGGGTGCCGATATTCCAAAGCGAGCAGCTCTGGCTTCCTTCTTGGCATCTACTGACAGTTCCACACCAAACTTTTGTGCTCGCATCTCCAGGCGCTATAAAACAAATTATAATTATTAAGAAGGCTACTAACACTTATTGTAATAAACCAGTCTGTTACAGTGTTGGATCTGATGTTATTCTTCAGCTCTGAATATGGAAGTAATACATTCCTCCAAAATGTCAGGCGATTTTCACTGCACTACAGGGTGGTACATCCTAGAAGACAGAACCTTTCTTAGTATATTTAAATTTCTCATGTCAGGTGATTTTTACTTGACTACAGTGTTAAATCCCAGAAAAAAAGAACACTTCTTAGCAGTTTATAAATTTCACACAAGTGGGACTACACACAGAATGCTGTATCTTACCAAGAAATGAATCCTTCTACAAGTCCTATAATGTTAGGATAGGAAGTGTGAACTGAAGAAGAAACTCTGCAAAGATGGTAGTACTGAGTACTAAAATGAAAAGTATAAGATCAAGAAATTCTACAGTTTGAATGCAATACTTCATTAAGCACCATGCCATGAAGATGTGGGGGGAATGGAGGTATAGCTCCACCATTCTTGACCTCAACCATAGATGAAGGCAAGTGGTCACCTTGACACTGACACTCTGGCTGCTATATCCCAGGGGAAAGGACCCCTGGTATCCACTGGATAGTACACTGCACAGGCCCCAGAGCCAGTCTGGATAGTATGGAGCAAAGAAAAATTTCTTACCCCTACTGGGAATCAAATCCCAGCCATCCAGCCTATAACTCATCACTATACTGGATCCCTTGAACGACAAGACCTCCCACAAATTTATTTCTTATTTCCAAGTCTCTGATTTTAAGATATTATGTTATATTCAGGGTTGTGCACAGATTATATGTGTATTTTATAAAATGAATCCTTCAGTGTTGATCAAAAACATCTCCAACCTCTTTCATGGAAAAGGCAGACAGCTTGATGACCTTCTTGCCATCAGACTGCTGCTGATGCTGGCGCTGTGGCTGCTGTCCTGTATCAGAGATGCCCTGTGCTGTCTGCTGCTGGTGGTTTTCCTTCTCAGAGCTTGCAGCAGATGGAACCACATTGCGGTTTAGCACAATCTTTTTGGCGCTTGCTGCAGCAGGTTTGTTGGACACAAGACTTTCATCCTCAGACACTGGTGCCAGCTTCCTTAGTTTTGGTTCTGGGGAGGTGCTGATGTCACCCACCAAGACTTCTTCCTCCTCTTCATCCTGCCAACAAAATGAGGAGTCTAAGCTGTTTCTTTCTGAGGGAAAATGTTTACTACTTGGATGTAAAGCATCATATTAGTGATTTTGACACTCACATGATATGACTACTGATGTATTTCTCTGTGATTACAAAGTAAACTTATGGTCCCTGATATGAGAAGAAAGCAGGATTCATTGTTCCAGAGCATCCATTTTCTCTCTTTATACAGAAAGTTCAAAAAGTGATTATGCAAGAAAAAATGTTGGCAAAATGGCAGATCGTGCGACCTTCTGACTATAACATTCTATTATAGGGTTAAGATACCATGTGCACTCAAATAGATATCAGACACAATTCAAGTCTGAAATTTCATTTTCTTTTCTAATATTTTATGTGGGCACAATGAGGAACTGGAACCATCAGTACCAGTATTACTACACAGAAATTTACAGTTCATATGAAGGGACTATCAGCAACTCACAGCGAGGACATCATCATCATCCATAATCTCCTCAGAATCACCTGCTACAGAATCAGGCTCTATGATCAAGGAGTTCTCTGCAATGAAAAACAAATAAAATTCTAGTTTTCAGAAGCACTTGATGGGACAAGGCCCCCTCACCCACAAATTTTATATTAATTTTTAGAGAATATAACTCAAAACTTAACCTTAAGTTTGCATTAAAAAAAAAAGAAGAAAAAAAAGAAGCCTCACATTGCATATGAGGGGTGAATATCAGCATTTCCTGCAATGCCTCCATGTGGAAGAGTTAAAAAAAATTCAACAATACCAAAAATTATGTACAAACTGAGTCCATTTCTATTCACCCTGTTAAAGCCAACAAAACAACAAATAAAGTGGGTGTATCTTCAATGCAGACAACAGATGGTGGTATACATCTTACTGATTTAATGTAAGCGTAGATTGTGCTACATGTTTCGACTTATAATAATCAGGTACCTCTCTATGACCTGTAACTCAAGTGATTAAAGTTAATAGTCGTTATGCAACTGATGTCTGTTGCTGAAAGTGAGCTGTGTTGATAGCTATAATATAGGATAAATATTATATACACAACATGATGGTATCTATAAAGTTTATAGTCCATAATCTATTAAACATCATCCTTCCTTCATGTCCATCTCACAAATTTACTGCAACAGGTATGTAATACAAGCTCCTTATTTATACATCTGGAACTATTGCTATTTTGTTTAATGAGCCACCTACAACGAAGAAACACTAAAGGGAGCTACTGCATCATTGCTGAAATGAAGGAACTGAAGGGCTCTGACAGCAGAACACCACACATTATTTATGAAACTGGGTCAAAACCTTACTACAGAATGCCACAAGACTAAAACATTTTTCATATCAGTCACACAATACATAGCAGCCAAATATGGCTTTAAGTTAATAATAATATTTTGTTACTGCCAGAAAGGGGTTACAGCAACATCTATAATTACTTAGTCCCAATCTTAACTGTAGTTTAGTTCTTCAGTTCTGCTGAAGTACCTTTATCAAACTAAAATAACTTACCTCCTTGTAAAGATAGCTGTAATCTTCCTACCAATTCAGTTTTATTTCCCACCACACTCAGACCTCTACCTTTCAGTTCCTTCTTCAAATCTGCCACCTGAAAGTTATCAACACAGTGTTATACACTTACAGGAAGATCATTCAACAGCTCATAGTCAACACTAAATAAAACTGGTGCAAATACAATGCACATACTTTCTCATATATGGTTTACCCCAAATATGTTACCTTCTAAACGAAAAACTGATTGTTGTTCAGTGGATCACTGTTCACTTAGTGGGTGGTGGAGTCCAGCTGGGTCCACTCGGCACGGCGGCCACTCATTGGCCTATTGTACCTGCCTTGGGTGATTATGATAATGGAGAATTTGGCAGGGGAAACCTAAGTACTCGGAGAAATCTCGCCCCGGCGCCACTTTATCCACCACAAATCCCACTTGACCAGACCAGGGATCGAACCCGGGCTGCCGGAGTGGGAAGCCAACGACTAACCGCTTGAGCTATGGCGCGGCCTTGTAGATCACTGTTGGTTGCTGAATACTGAACAATAAAATCTGACTACCTGGTAAATCCAGTTTCGAGAAAATTAACATTTCGCGTTTGGCTCCTAGTGCATGTACTGTTAATTCCCTGAAGATACCACACATACGGTGGATGTGATCTCCATAAATTACTGGAACTAAATCAAACTCATCTGAGCGTTTAAAAGAAAATCGACATTTTATTTTGTGGTCTATTCGAAGTGCAAATTTTGCAGCCGGTATGTTCGGATTCGCCGTGCACCGATAACCTATCTAATACCAAATACAAACAAAAGCTTCCCAACTCTTCACGAGCTGAAGTACCGCACAACCATATAAACACAAAAACAAGCAGACGAAATTCGAAAAGACCTTTTGGTAACTTAGGGCCAAAAACCTGCAAACCCGTCAGAATTTCCAGACCGATGTTTTTCACTACCACTTAAAGGAGAAAGTAAACAACAAATTCATTACATGCGTTCATACAGTACATTATTATTACATGTTATTCTTGTATACACTTAATATTATGAAACGTGTCACAGTGTAAATACCAACTTTTAATTTTGAAATATCTTGCAATTCATCAGCCATTTTTATTAACACAGTTACTACGGTTACTACTTCACACCTGCAACACACACACAAACCACACAACCTCCCTGACCTCGACACCCATGACACAAATCAGGGCAGCCAACAGATTCTATTAAGAACCAGCGATTTTTTTAATGCTAGTGAGGTGGGACTAAGTCCATTGTACTCCGGCCACTTCTGGCCTATTGTACCAGCTGCAGATGATAGGTGAGGGTGATTGTGGAGCAATTGGTGGAATGAAGATTGGCAGGAGAAATCGAAGTACTCGGAGAAAACCTGTCCCAGCGCCACTTTGTCAACCACAAATCCCACTTGACCAGACATGTGATCGAAATGGGGTGGGAAGCCAGCGACTAACCGCATAAGCTATGGCGCGGCCAACCAGCCATTTGATAACAAAACTCGCTACCCTAACGAAGTGCATAACTCGGAAAGTCAACTGGTCACATGTGTTCATTGACCGAAAGGCAAGTGGTAGCAACTCTCATAACAGATATGGAGACATACGCACTCCTCGGCTGCGCATACAATTATTTTCATGTAAGATTTGAGGCTTTCACGGCGGTGACTATGAAGAAAGCAGTCTTCTGGGATTTGGCACCGTGTATATGTGGTGTTAACCGACGTTTCGGAGGAACGTCAGTTAACACCACATATACACGGTGCCAAATCCCAGAAGACTGCTTTCTTCAACTATTTTCATCTCTACTTTTCCGTTGGTAATCAGATAGCCTGGAACCAATCACAGAACACCGCAGGTATTGTATCGAATCTCATGTTTTTAAACCAATCACAGAGCCCCGTTGAAGCCTGATTTCATTTTCGGTTGATGGCGGCAATGGTTGGCTATGCTTATTTACCTGTAATCACGGTGATGTATTTTTCCGTTATTTGGCAAGTATGGATTTTGATCTTTGATGTGATGTTGTGAAACAGGAGTCGACGTACGCACGAAGTTACATCTCCATGTTATTTATTTATTTATTTCGTCCCTATAGATCATTGTTACACGATATAGGACAAGTCAGTTGCTGTACATTGGCTGATTACAATAAGAGAATAAAGTTACAATACTTAAAATTGTTTACAATAGATTACAGTAGATTACAATAATTAAGATTTCATATAGTGTGAGGTGGAATCCATATTAGGTCCCCTCGGCACGTCGGCTTCCATATGTCCTATTGTACCTGTACTGGTAATAAAATGCTTATGGAGAATGTGATGAATTTCTCTATATGAATGGTATGCTTATTATGCCACCTGAAATTAACACTGTACATATTAAAAAATTCTTTTTACGAAATTTTAACCAAATCATATTTCTGTTATGACATATTAGGCATCTTTTGGTTTAGCCCACAGGAAGTCTATAGAATCTGAAGAGACTCAGAGTGTACTGTGATTGTCTTATAATTTCTGTATTGCTTCTTGCAGTATAAATGGAAACAAAGAAAATATTCTCTTCCCCAGGGTGCTCATCCATTAGGCACAGAGAAATTAAATTCATCAACTTTCCCAGGGATTCAGCACAGTATGTCTGTTTTAATTCATGATGTAATGGCTTTATTTTGTGTGGCTTAATCCAGAAAAGAAATTAAGCTTAGCAAATGTTTGCAATAAATGTATTAAACGTAACCCCACAACGTAACACTTGCACCATGTTTGTAATGTTTACTGATGAATTGTTTCTTGATTGTGAGACAATATGTTCTACTCTTACAGGGCTCTGGTATGGACAGGAAGATTTGGGATATCCTGCACTATTGATTCCGCTAGAATGCTGTGCACTGAACTGATGAAGATGAATACATATCATATTTTCAATAATCATTACATTACATATGTTACTTGAAAAGCAGACCACACTATCAGTATGATTCATGAGAGAATAAGGTGGTGAAGACTTTAATATGAGGAACAATGTAATCAAATGTACAAATTGTTATAATGGCAGTCCCTTGTAAAGGAGTGTGTGTTATTTTCCAATATGAAGAAATATGGTAGTCCACTACGTAAGGAAGCTCACTAACATTGTTTTATGTTCTATTAGAAGGGTTCTGCACTGAATACCTGACAACAGCTTTATTTGTTGACTAGGATGACAATCTCTCTTGATAGTTCCAATGGTGGAAAGTGTGTTGACCCAGAGAAAACACTACATTGCCCAGCCAGTGATAACAGTCCCCATATCATTAGAAGAAAGCAAGTGTGGGGATAAGTATCATTATTTTGGCCATATTATTCTGTTCAGTATTGAACTTATAAACAAGTATATGTTTCAGATGTTCAATATTCTCGTGTTACGTGGTAACCTACTTCTCTCTCCTATGTAATGTGATGAATAATTTGATGTAGGTTTCAGATTCAGTGAATATTTATTGAACAAACGCTTTTACACACACGAGTACAATTATTATCCACTACTTCATTGTCATAATCACTTCTTACACCTCTGATCTCAGTGAAGTCTTCTGTTCTCTATTTCTGATGTGAGATTGTTTCTGCTCTACCTGGAGCTACACTAATAACTGACTGACTGACTGACTCCAACGGATGCTGGAACTTCACTGTTACTCCGGTGGCTGTTATATTTCAACTGACTTGTCTCAAATCAAAGTCACATTGTGATGACTTGTCTCTTGTCAAAGCTAGGCTTTTATAACCTCGGCAGTTGCTATGCAATGAACCTTCTGTTGTCATGCAATGCTTCAAATAATTCATAACCTTTCATCTCCTAGGAAACACGTTTGTTGCCCCAGGCAACGACCCTCTGTTATTGCGGTTGTCACTGCGGGAACTCTCCATGTATTCGTTGTAACCGTGGAGACTCACTGTAGGCTGTTAACTTTTTTTTTTAATTCGCTTAGTGGGGGGGGGAGTCCGACTGGGTCCACTCGGCATGGCGACCACTGATTGACCTATTGTAGCCTGTCCCAGGTGATTATGATGATTGAGAATTTGGTGGAATGAACATTGGCAGGGGAAACTGAAGTACTCAGAGAAAACCTG